AATGTAGAGGGTGGAGCACAGTGTCAGTGTAACTCACTAGTGAATGTGTGTTACACGTCTCACCTCTCTGCCTGCTCTCTCAGACTGTTACAGCTCCATTTTATGAAGCTTTGGCAGTTTGTGCTTTTAGCACTAGAGGTCCACGGGTTGGTCCCCAGTATGTTAGCCAAGATGGCGGCCATCACCTCAGCACAAAGCAAATAGTTATTTATGTACATAAATATTAGAAAAAAAGAGCAAATGTTGAAAATCAAAGTTACAGAGAAGGAGATACAATTCCTCCTCCCTCCCTCCACATGCACACACTGTGCAGGGCAGAGCTCTCCCTAGGTTATTTCTTAGCAGGTCTCAGTGTCTCAGAGAGTTTCTCAGCCAGATCTCTCCTGTTTATAGATTTCAGCACATTCACTGTCACTTCCGTCCCATAGTCCTCTCCATAGTAGCTCAGTAGGGATTGAGTCATGTCCACAAGTGATGCGTCCTCTAATTTACCCATGGGGATATTGTCATAGTCCCTCTTCAGCTTAAATTTGTTCAGTTTGAACTTGAATTTTTTGAGCTCGTCCTTTGTCAGCTCTTCAAGAATGTCATGTAAGCAATCGCTCACTGCTTTCTCCATGGCGGCTCCTTCCTCAGCTCTCTGAGCAGCCTGCGAGAGGAGAGACAAAACCAGGAAATGGTTCACAGAAAAAAAGAGGAATAGTCAGAGCAAAACTGAAACTAAAGCACTCACCTCACATCAACCCCCTCCCTTCTTGCCTAGCGCTCCCTCCAGTCATGCAAACAAGAGTTGCTGCACATTCGCTTTCAATCCCAAATGGAAAGCCGCCCACAAAACACTACACTGGTCACTTCCTGAAACCAAGACAAAACTAGGTCAGGCCATTGGAACAAAATCTATCAGGTGAGAAGAACACAGAAGAAAAGAACAGGAACAATAGTGGCGCCATCCAGCTTTTCTTTCTAATAGAAAAGGGAATGATTGTGATAGTAAAATTTGTACATCCTGCTCTCCAATTTCCCCTAGTTTGCCCCTTCCATTAATGGCACATCACTCTGCTGGGTGTATAAATAGCATCCAGAGTGGGAAGAGCACCACACCATGTTTAACTCCCCCAACATTTTGTATGTGGTCTCACAGAAGGGGCAAAGGAGCGTTAACCATCACTGCAGTGTGTGTGCTGGGGCAGAGCGTGGGCCTGTAGCCCAGAGGGGCCAGCTTACCTGTATTATGTTCATTGCTTTGTTATTCTGCTTTATTATATTTAGTAGTATTGCAAGGAACCTATAGACTTTTATCCTGTAAGATTTGGCTTTCGTAGATAGTGTGACGCTTGAGGCCTATACCTTTGGTACAGATAAACTTAAGTAACTCATAAGTTATAGGGAGCTGAAAGTAGCATGCAAGAGGGGGAATTTTGTCCAGAATACTGACATTAGCCACCCACAGAACACAGCTGACCCCAGCACAGAACATAGCTGACATCAGCATCCAGAAAGTTTCAGACAGAACCTCTGACCGCAAAGCTGCTATGACAGTAAATTGACGTGTATACTAATAGGGTAACATCATACATATACTAACCTATAGAAAACGAACCCCTTAAGGGGAGGAAATACAAATAAGGACCTCTATTGAATATGCAATGGAAATGGCAGTGTCAGCGTAACCTACTATAAAAGTAACATAGCACGGGCAGCAGAGAGGCTGGAGAGATGTAGACCTTGGGAGGGCAAGATGAGGATGATGACTTTGATGAGAAAGATAATGGTTAACATTCCAGGGGGTAAGTATGGCTTTCCAAATGTACTTTCTGTATTATCTCTATCTGCTTTGTTGAGTTTGTATGTGTATAACTTTGCAAAATTATG